CCCCAAAACCCCAAAACCCCAAAACCCCAAAACCCCATTGTCAGTGGTTGCTATTTTAAAGTTGGAAATGACAAATTATTAAAAATTTCATTTTCAAACAAAATGTTAAGAAATACAACGAACTACTAGTAAAATCCGACCCAACCGCTTGGCCAGCCATCTTAGAAATTAAACATTTAAAACCAGGTGCAAGGCAAGAATCAGGATGCTAATAGATCTAAGCCTAATTTCCAGGAGCAGGTTCGTCACAACAATAACGATAGCGACATCTCTGACGAAGACATGGGTGATATTGATGAAAACGTAGTGAACAATACTGCTGGTGGTGGTGCCTAAAACCAAAGAAATCAATAGCAAAGAAATGAAAACTACGCCGCTCCTCAATAGTCCTCCAATTAAAACTCCTATAAACTCAGAGGCAATACTCAAAGCCCCCCTAAATATAAGTCAGCTGGTCAGTATTAATAATAAAACGACTAAGTAAGTGCAAGAGGACAATAGACATAATCACTTTTAAAGCAACCAGGATTTCTTGCTTAAAATGCTAAATAGCAAAGTAAGTCTTATTAATTTATAAAATTTCGACGAAAATTATATTTCACTGTTATTCATACAAATTCTATAGCATCATCGTCACAGTCTTAAGATAGTAGAAAAATTGAAATGCTCCAAAAGATCTCATCCCCAACTTAATAATCGATACTGCCTCATTAAATTTAAGGTTAAAATATACAAAAGAATCTGTATGAATCAAATTAGGGTATTAATGGTTAGCTAAGCATTGTAAATGAGGAGATAGGTGGAGGTCAGTTGCCAGATCCCGAGCGTGAGACAGACTTCGGCAAGGCCTACAACAAGTTAGTGAAGAAGTTTTATCAGGAGTAGGGTCCCAATCTTTTGATTCCTGAGGAAGATTTATACAAGGTTGAATAGAGAGGTGTTAACATTAATGAAGTGCAAAGAAGAATTTAAGAAGATGCGTAGAAAAAAGAGGAAAAAATCAGAATGCTTAAGGCAATTTAAGAAGAAAAAGAGCTTGAAGGTTGCACATTCGCACCAACTATGCTTACCAAAAAGAAGAATAACGTTGGTGGGGAGAAGAGAGACCTCAATAAGTTCTTGGAAGATCAATAGAAATATCTAGAACTGAAACAGTAGAAGTAAAATGAAAGAAAGGAGAAGTAATTGCAATCCGAACAATCTGTGATGGTTACTTAACCAATGGTAAATGAGAAATCAAAGAAACTATTAGAGAAAAAAAAGAAGTTGTAAGAGGACTAAAAAGAGACTCTGACTAGAGAGGACACAAAGGAAGGCAATGAGAAATAAAATTAGAGATAGCCAGGCAGACCAGCCACTGGACATCAGCAAGACATGAAAAAGAGATTAGCTAGCCCATAATCAAATGAGACATTCAAGCCAAATATTTCTAAAAAATCTTCACAAATAGCAGAAAGCAAAAGAGCTGGTTAAAAGATTGAGGATCATCTATTGCTAGAAGGCAAGAAGCTACAAGACAAGCAGGCTAAACGTATTTTAGATGAGAAGAACCAGAAAACCACAAAAGTAACTAATAAGGAAAGTGAGAAGTACATCATTGCTAAGTTTAACAGAGAGTTTGATCATATTATTCAGGAGATGTTTAATGATACTAATGTACTGGATGATGCTGATCCAAAGTCTAGAGTTTCAGATGCAAGTCATAACCTTCAGAAAAATATAAACTACCTTAGATTAAAGGAGTTATTAATAGTAATGGGCATGATAAATGAAGCTGCTGCTAACGCAGATTCAAACGATAGAGCCTTACTTTATGAACTTTGGAAATTACTCAATGGTGAAGAGAAGGAAGAAATCGCCATTGATGATGTCAGACTGGTTATCATGTCTATACTCAGAATGACAGAGCATAAGAGGATTGGCGGTGAAAGTTCTTAAAAGCAAACCTAATAAGAATTAGAAGATCCAAAGAACTTTGGTTTCTATAACAATAAAGGCTAATTCTGCCTTAGAACAGAGGATATTCACAAAATTCAAAAGATGTACAATATCTTCTACCTCAACAGACTTCAGCATTTGGGGAGACTACTCGAACAATCAAAACTCGATAAGGCAAATCAGGAGCAATTCAATTACAAGCCATAACTCAATGAAAATTCATCAATCATTGCTCAGAAATACAGGCAAAAAGTAGCAGATCAGATTAAAGAAGATAAAGTTACTACATTTGAGTGGCTTGCTGCGGCAGGCAATAAGTAAGCATGGAGAGATTAAGCCAAGCAAATTCTTCAAGAAGAGGAATTAAAGGAATGCACCTTCAAGCCTTAATTGATCTCACATAACCCCTAGTTAGATGCTTCCAAGAGTTAGTCAACTATCCCTTCTCAAGATAAGTAGAGTGCAGTAGAAAAGAGTAATATTGGAGCAGGATCTCAAAAGTACTAGTAACTTTATGCTATGGCCAAGCATTAAAAGGATAAGCAAGATAAAACAAAGGAGGACTATGAGTTTGAGAGAAACCAGCAGGAATGTACTTTCCAACCTAAGCTTTAATCTCAAGGAAAATAAAGAAATTAAGTGCAGCAGGAGCCACCTCACCTCTAAAAAGATAAGCATGTCTAGAAGTAAATTGACAGACTTAACAAGGCCAGGGAGGAGAAGGAAAGAATCAAGATGTACACAGAAAGAGGTGCTATGCCACCTATTAAGCAACCAGGTGATGCTATGAACATAAGTACTATTTCAGCCACAAGCAAGAGACCAACTTAAACTAATGCCTAAAATGTCTAGAACAGAAGATCGCCACATGAGGGTCAGGCAAGAAGTAACACTGCCAACCAATAAATCAGAAAGAAGATTGAGAACAACACCAATATTGAGTATGATAAGAATGGCTCAAATTCGATCTTTAATAACAACTTGTTGGGTTCCCCTGACAAAGAAGGTATGCATTCAGTTCTATAATTATCATTTCTAACAAATTATTTTTAGCCTTGAACATTGAGATGAATGGCCACGGATCACCAGAGTTGAGAGATAGTGCTTAGAAGAGCACCATTAGTGACAGGACACCACTCCTCTTCGTTGATGTTAATCTAGGTGGGGATGCCTCCGAGAGAATTGTTGTGTTTGAGGGAGATACAGCTAGAGAGTTAGCACTTAGGTTCTGTGAGGAGCATAACCTTGATGAGGATACACTTGAGAAGTTGGAGGAGCTCCTTTAATCTCAGATCTCAAGTGTCCTTACCAAGATTGAGGAGGAAGAATAGGAGAGCAACGCCTAGAGCCATGACTAATACTAAGACTAAGAATGAAAATGAAGAAGTTTTATTAGTTGCAATAAATGAATATGTGCAATAATCTTGAATAAAATGATGATAGCTTATAATCTATCTTGGAAGATTCAATTTAAATATTATTAATATCTATTGCAATCCCTCAATAAGCCATTATTTCATACTATCGGGGTTTTGGGGTTTTGGGGTTTTGGGGTTTTGGGG